TTTTTTTTTAATTTTTTAGTTTATGCATTTCTGGATAGCATCTGGATTTCTCTCCAGCTCGTAAGCCACCACCTCTTCCTTTCTCTCTGCACGGATGTGATGAAAAATGTGTGCGTGACATAGGGAAAATATATAGTTTGTGTTTATTTGCAGATCAAGAGAAATGGAATATATAAAAATATGAATATATCTACGAAAAATATCTATATATTCTACTATTCCCCTGGGTCATTTGTTCCATGTTGTTTCCCATCACAAACTAACACAGGTCGTAGCAAGCACCACCGGTGTTAGATTTTATTTCCCCCTGAGAAGATGAGGGATTCCTTTCCAAGCCCAGAATTTTATTTATTTTTTTTTAAACTTGACCTGAAAAAGCTCATTTCTAGTCCCAAACAAGCAAGGCTGGATGAGCAGTAAATGCACGCCTGGAGTCCGATGCTCCAGGCGTCTCCAAGGGAAAGATCTCAACTTGGACGAGTCAACTGAGTTGACTTTGAAACCAACATTTATGGCTGGGATCACTCGATCTGTTTTCAAGTCCTCGTTAGGAGGAGATGAATCACTCTCCAGAAGCGCCGATATTTCTCCGTTGATGGTAACATGACCCCCCCAAAGTAATTAGGTGTCTGTCGCTCACTTTTTTCTTTTTTCTCCATAACAAGAGCTTTGGTGGGCTGCTCAGGTGGCGATGACCATGTTACAGGCAAACCCCAGCCAACGATGGTCCTCATATATTATTGTCACACCCCCCTGTTTAATGCAAGATGCCCCAAAGCTCCACACAATGTTCCAAGAAGACAAAAAGTTGTTGGGTTGTTTTTTTTTTTTTTTTTTTTGAGATGCAGGACCCCAACCCAGAGTTTAGTCTTTACGGATTTTGGAAACTCACCCTTAGATCTCAATATGGACTTTGCATCCTTGCGTATTCCCTGTCTCCTGTTGCTTTTTATGGCCCCTGGAGCTCCACCAAGTCATCTGAGCCCTCCCAGCTGAAGCATCGAGGGCAAAATGGGTCTTTAACGAGAGCTCAGATGGTTCCCTGGACCAGAGCCTGGAGCAGCTGCTAAACACAAGCCTCAGGACTCTGATCTTGCATTTAGCACCAGGGTCAGCCAAAAAAGCAATGCGACCCGGACCCGGTGGCCGTAGCCCAAAATCTGCCCCCCCCCCTGCAAAAAAAAAAAAAAAAAAAAAATCCCCAAACCAGACAGGGAGCCTAGGATTTTTTTTGGGGGGCAGGAAAGGGCAGGGTTGTATCCTTGGTTTATTTTATCCTCCACCGACGCGTCGTCCCCTAACGCCGAGGTCTTCGTTAGCAGTTTAAAGAAACCGGACACTGCAGAAGTGACCTCGGGCGGCGCGCTCGTTCCTGGAAGAGGAACGCCCACACGGGGCTGGATGCCAAGCATTCATGTTCCGCGTCCAGCCCCGGTGAAATCAGTCCTTGCCCGCAGGAGAGAGGCCATGGCGGCCGTGTTCCTGCCTGGCAATCTCCAGGATGAAGCCACTTGCTCCGTTTGCTTGGAGTTCTTCAAAGACCCCGTCTCCATCGAATGCGGGCACAACTTCTGCCGGGCGTGCATCATCAAGAGTTGGAAAGATCTCGAGATGGATTTCCCCTGTCCTCAGTGCCGGGAGGTCTTCCAACAGAAGAGCTTCAGACCCAACCGTCAGTTGGCCAACATGTCCGAGATCATCAGCCAGTTCACCCTCCGCGGGGCCAAGGGCGCCGAGGAGGACGGGCTCTGCGCAAAGCACAGGGAAGCCCTGAAACTCTACTGCAAAGACGACCGGAAAACCATCTGCGTGGTCTGCGACAGGTCCCGGGAGCACCGGCCGCACGCCGTGGTGCCCGTCGATGAGGCGTCCGAGGAGTACAAGGTACCTTCTGGCTGGCTGGCCACCCCCAAGAAGACCCTCCCGGGGGTTTTTTTATCGCTCGTTGCGTTGCGCGTTTGTGCTCGTTCAAGTCCCAGCGGGGTCACCCAGCTTTCCCGCGCTCGGCCTTGCGCTCTGAAAAAAAAAAAAATAAATAAAAATTCCATTGATGCTTTCCAGCTTTCCAAAAAAAAAAAAAAAAACCTGGAAAACATGTTTCCTCTCCAGATGTGCAAAATTCTTTCCTGCATTTACATCAGCTGGGGAGAACGTGGGGTTAAATACAGGGCAGCCGGGAACAGAATTTCTCCCCGTGCAAGTGGGTGTGCCCTCCCCTGGCATCCTCCTCCTCCTCCTTTCTTTGTGTTCGCTGAGGGGGGGGTTGCGTGTTTTCCTCGGGGCAGAAAAATGTAGCAAGGGAAAGAAAGAAAGGGGGGAAAAAAAAAAAAAAGGGTAACATCTGTGTGTGTTCCTAGGAGAAAATCCAGGGACGCTTGGATTTCCTGAAAAAGGAGAGGCAGGAGCTGCTGGAGTTCAAAGTGAACGACGACAAGAAAACCCAGGAGCGCTTGGTGCGTGCGATGCGGCGCTGCGGGGTGGTGGGGTCCAGCCTGGGATGTGTGGCGGGGGTTAGGACCCACCCAGTCACCCCATCTTCTCCTCCCTACTGCTCTGTCGCTGCCCAAAGATGGGAAATGTCTGATTTTTTTTTTCCTTCTTCCATCATCAAGGTTGGCAACACGTCAACTGGTATTTTATCAGACCAAAGGGACGGGTGCTGGAGCATCTCCTCCATCTTTCCTCCCTCTTCCTCCTCTTCCTCAGCCCCTTGTCCCTGGGGAAGAAGGCAGCAGAGTGTTTGCGCAGGAAAATCCCCGTCCCCCCCTGCTAATAACTCCCCTCCCAGACCATCTCCCCCAAAACAAGGTGACGTTGAGTGGCTCATGTCCCCCCTCCTTGGGACGAACACCGTCACGCTTCGTTAAGCGCTCATTAAGTCCCCACCAGCCCAAGGGAGAAAAAAGAACCCCACATGTCCAGAAGAGAAAAACCACCTGAGATCTGCTGTGGAGGTGAGGTACCTACCCCAGACATGGTTTAAAACCCTTTTTTTTTTTTTTTTTTTGGATGGTTTTCATCCCCAGAAAACCATCGAGAACGAGCGGCAGAAGCTGCTCTCGGAGTTCGAGAGGTTGCGGCAGTTCCTGCACGACCAGGAGCACATCCTCCTGGGGCAGCTGGAGAAGATGGAGAAGAACATTGCCAAGAGGCAGAACGAGAACATCACCGACCTCTCCAAGGAGATCACGCTCCTCAACAAGCTCATCGCTGAGCTGGAGGAGAAAATCCAGCAGCCCATGCTCGAGTTCCTCAAGGTGAGACCTTTGGGATGAAACGAGCCTTTCAGGTGTAACTCCTGACCCTTCTCCACCCTTTCTGACATGTTTCTGGATCCTGCAGAGGTGTTTTGAGGACAAAGTCCTTTTATTTTGCACCTTTGTGGTGCCTGAGTGCTCGTCATATTTAACAGCTGCTGACAAATTTTTCTTCCGTGAATTTGTCTGGACCATCCCAGCACCCATTAATTCCTGTTTCGAGATGCTCAAAGCTTTATTAGACCTCACACAAAGAACCACCAGAGCATAGACCCCTCTTGCAAATCCAGGTTTTGATGGGTCGGTGGCCAAACCAAGCTGCGGGCGTCCGCTCCTCCAGCTTAAAGGTGTTGGTGAGGGCTTGGGATGGAGCTGAGCGTCGAAGCCCGCGGAGCTGGGCTCAGCAAGACACGGCTCCTCGCCAGTTTTCGCGGTTTTCCCTGAGATGTGAAAGCAGAGCCGGGTTTTAGAGTCGAAATGAATGATTAACCAAGCTGGAAAATATGAGGGAGAGAGCAGATGGAGTTCAGGTTTTGATTGCAGGGCAAAGAACGAACCTGGAGAGAATCCAGCCCTCCCTGTTACCCAAACCTCTTCTTTGCAGATGAAGTAGGGCTTAAAAAATAAAACCTGAGCTGCCCATCCCAACGTCACGCGGTCCTGTCCTCCACAGAACGACAAAAAAAAAAAAACCTTTTAATTGGTGACGTTTTGATTCAATGGGGTAGGTGGAGCTCCTGGTGCACGCAGGGTTAAATCCCCTCCCACGCAGCTTTGAGAGCACTGTCAATATTTGCAGAAGGTTGGCACTTGGCTATGGGTGAAAAGTCGTTTCACGTGGTCTTTGGTGGCTAAAAACCATCCTGTAACAAGAGGTGATTTTTTTTTTTTTGAAAGTCCACATTGGAAATTCTTAGCCAGCTCCAGAGTCCTTCTCCGTTCCCTGGTAGGGCTTGGTGCAACCTCTGAATCACGGCCAACACGCTCGCCACGGTTTATGCCCTTCTTTATGTCGTTTTAAAGGCGTCAAAAAGGGAAAATATCGTCATGGGCTGGACCGAGCACGAGTTTCATCTCAGGGAATTTTTGCCGCGTAGCAACCGGCCATTGAGGGTATTTGAACCCGTAATTTACCTCCATCATCCATCCTTCCTGAGGGCAAACCACTTCCCCTATTAGAATATCCATCCTGGAATGGGGTGAATCACCTCGGGGAGCACCCTCAACTCAGATATCACGGAGACGTTGACGTGCGAGTTGAATGCCGGCTTTCGAGGTGGCCAAGTTAGGGCAGATGATGGTCCTTGGGCTCTTGGTGGACGCTTGCGGGTGTCTTTCTGGCTTCACAAGGGGTGGGTTGGTAGGACCTTCTCAGGAGACCGGCAGAGAGATCCTTAGAGCATCCCAAAAGCCGCCGCATGCCCACACCTGGGCTCACAACACCAACGGCCAAGTAATGGAATATTTGGTAGTTTTGGTAGTCACCACCCTAGAAGACGCTCCCAACTCAACCGGGCAAGGCTTTGAGTGATGCATTGGAAGGGAGACCTCCAAAAGCACCTTCCAACCTAAACCACATTTTTACTCGGTCTCTCTTTTTCTTTTCTAGGATGTGATGAGCATCATAAGCAGGTACGGAGCACTGCTTCTCCCCCTTCTTTCACTCTTCTCCCCCCACCCCAGCAGGGTTTGAAGGTCAGCGTTCACCCTCCAGGTGCCAGAGGGAGGCACTGGGGTAGACGGGGCTCCTACTGGGAGCAATCCCTGGGTTTCTTCCAAGTTCTTGGAAAACTTGGTGTTGTCACAAAGTCTTTTCCTACCAGGCAGTTGCTTCAAATGTCAAGTGAGACCAGAGACCCCAAGTCATCTTCTTCGCCTGACATACGATTCACCCGGGGCGACGGTTTAGGCACCATCTTCTTCGCCTGACATACGATTCACCCAGGGAGACGGTTTAGGCATCACTTAAGCTCCAAAAATGAAATCTAAGCTGCAGCAGGAGCAGCTGAGAGGGGATAACGCGGCACAGACACCCTTTACGACAACCAGCCGAGGGGGTTTTCAAAGTTCAGACGCAAATCCCCGCGTCCTCAGCCCAGGGCGGGGGGTGAAATCCCAGCGCCATCCCCGCGCTGTGACGCTGAGAGCCCTTGGATAGACCCTGGGTGGGATGAGGCGCGAGCATCGCACGTTGCCAACTACAAGGGAAAAAGAAAGAGGGGGAATAGAAAATTTATTTTTTTTTACCTTTTTTTTTTTTTTTCCCCAGAAGTGATGATGTGAAGTGCCAGAAACCCGTGCCGGTCTGCACGGATATGAAAATGCACATCTGTAATTTTTCCCTCAAGACTGTCGTCCTTGAAAAAGTCTTAAAGAAATTCAGAGGTAGGTGGAAATGAAACCCAGGGGAGGATTTAAAATAGGCCTGGCCTTTAGCAGGCATTGGGGAAAAAAAAAAAAAAAAAAAAAAAGGATGAGGAGCGCTGGGGGATGCTGCGGATGCCTCAAGGTCCTTTGGCACACGCCTGGCCAGCAGCGCTGAAATAGGAGAATAAATAATGTTGGAAAGGACTCTTGGAGATGTGCATGAGCAGGAGGAGACTCACCCTGCCAGGCTGCAAGATTTTTTTAAAGAAGGAAAAAAAAAAATAACCAAAACCCTGAACCCGGCACATCCATTTTAGTGCAATAAAACCGGCGATTTTCCCGTCTCGGATAGTTCGAGGCCGGGATGGCCAAGGTTTGAGTTGAAAAATCAACACATTGCAGCAACGCAGCAAAGCCACGAGGTGGTGCTGAGGGATTGGGAAAGGAAGCGAGCACCAGAACGAGCAGAGGGGGAAAAAAAAAAAAAAATTAAAAAAAAATCCCTAAATGTACGCCCTGGAGGAATAACTTGCCTTAAAGGATCGTACTGAAGGTTTGGAAGGCGTAGAGAAAAAAATACGCCAGGACACGATGCTTAAATAAATCCTGTGTTCTCTTGATGTCCAGAAGATTTTATTGGGAAAGGAAGCGAGCACCAGAACGAGCAGAGGGGGAAAAAAAAAAAAAAATTAAAAAAAAATCCCTAAATGTACGCCCTGGAGGAATAACTTGCCTTAAAGGATCGTACTGAAGGTTTGGAAGGCGTAGAGAAAAAAATACGCCAGGACACGATGCTTAAATAAATCCTGTGTTCTCTTGATGTCCAGAAGATTTTTTTTTTTTTTTTAATTAAAATATATTTGTCATGAATTTCCCCTGTTATTTGTCCCCATCACACACGATGCCGGGAGCTGGCGTTGCTCCATCCTCAGCTTTTCCTGTCGAGTCCCAGGTCGGCAAAGACGGCATTTTGGCAACGTTTGGGGGTGTAGAAATCCACGTAAAGGAGATTTTGTGGTTCCTTCTGGCTCTCTCAGTGGTGCCATTTACTTGCCCATCTCTTCTTTTCAGAAAACCTCCGGGATGAACTGGGAAGAGGCGAAAAAGGTAAAAGGAAAATATTTAAGACGTAGCCGCCCCTGGAGCAAAGACTTGAAATTGTGGTTGTAATTTGCAAAGCCAAAGAGAGGTGGGAGGGAGGGGGGGAAAAAAAGGCACTCTAGA